GGCAGTTCAATTAAGGCCTAATTTGACATACATTGAAATCAAGGAAAGTCTTTCCACTGACGCCGATGTATTTGGATCAGGCCCTTAGTGGATAAGATTTCTGTAACTACAGATCTTTGGCCCAGAGCTACAAAGCTGTTTAAACCCCAGACATCCCAGGTGAATCCTCTGACCACTGGACTAAAAGTTAGAAGATGGGCACCATCAAGTCCTTTTGTGGCCATTTTGTGCGGAGTGAGGGAGGCACCTAACTTATTCTTGCAAGAAACTACCTAGGTGCGTAAGCCACCTGACTCCAGGAGATGGGTTCTGCATTAATGGATCACTATGCAGAGAAAGGTGCCTCCCGACAGTCCAGACTTTGGCACCTGTTTCCATAAGGGGGTGGGTATTAGCGCACACACCACTGTTGTCAACATCTCCCATTGGCTAGTCCCACCAAGCATGTTGGCTTTTGTTGATTGCATTTTAAGGCATCTATCTCTCCAAATCCATTGTATAGGGATCTTAGATTTCTAATTCGGGTTTTGTGAATGGTAATGTTGTTCCTGTGATTTTCTAGGCATCTAAAAGTTAGGCCCTGTGACACTCTGCATTGCAATACCTAAATTCCTTTGTGAATCTGGTCCTTGGTTTTCAGTTTTAACATGGAGCCAAGCCCTGCTATCCTTGGCAGTCCTTTCTCAAGCAAAATTCGCAATGTAATAGAAACTTCTGTGTTCCTTAATATGCAACCCAGATTTTTAACATTTTACATAAAAGGTAGTTTAAAGTAATGACCTAGAATATTGTAATGCTGTAGTAGCATCAAAGAACTGAAGACTTCTGATGGTTGTGTAATGAGTCCAACTTTCACTTTCTCATCTCATAATGGAGAAGACATTTGCAATGATCTTTTACAATAATCAGTTTGCTCTCTGCTCAAGGTATGACTTGAACACAAATTTTTGGGTATCTAAAACTGTTTTCATATCCCGAGATACAAGCTTAAAATAGGTTTCAGAGTAACAGCCGTGTTAGTCTGTATTCGCAAAAAGAAAAGGAGTACTTGTGGCACCTTAGAGACTAACCAATTTATTTGAGCATGAGCTTTCGTGAGCTACAGCTCACTTCATCAGATGCATACCGTGGAAACTGCAGCAGACTTTATATATACACAGAGAATATGAAACAATACCTCCTCCCAGCTTAAAATAACTATTCAAGAACTGTTATTTATGTTGAGCATCATGGGTGAAATCCTGGCCCTATTAAGTTAAATGGGAATTTTGCCACTGACTTCGGTGGGATCAGGATTTCACCCTAGGACTATAGCTATATCTGTGCAGAGCTCACACTGGAGTTGCAGCAGCAGAGCATCAATATGAGAATTCCTCTCAGCATGGAGAAGTGTGCAGCCATCACCATGTGGAAGCTCATAAGTGGCTAACCAGTTTGGTGTTGGTAAATAAAAGCTGTTGTCATGGAGAGATGAATTGCTATTGAGAGGGTACTGTTGTCTCGGGTCATAAAGCTTGGTAATGCGCAGGAGGTTACTGACAGCTCTGAACACCTAGGGTTTCCACATTGTATAGGGGCCGCAGATGAGACCCCATTATCTACCCCACTACCATGTCTCAGAGTTCATCAGCAAAAAGGAATATTTCTCCATGATCATGAAAAACCTGGTTGAACTTCATTCTTGCAATAGCCAGCAACTTGTCTGTGCTGCTCCATCTTTTTTTGCTTCCTTCCTGCACAAAAATTATGAGTTCAAATACAGAAGTTAAATACATTTTTATTACTAGATCCCTGCCAACATAGTAATAAGTCAGCTGAATACGCATGCAACCAGTTTACACTCTAAATTATAGTGTAAAAACCTATTCCACATTTACTGCTTTGCAGTTTACTCACAGCTAATTTAGTGTTTAACACCATTGCAATACATCTAGTACTTAATGATACAGCATCTGTTGCAGTACTAGGGATACTCTGGTATAGCAGTAATTGGGCTATTGGGAAGATGGGTATTAATATCGTTTTTTCATCTAAGTATGTTAGTTCAGTCTGCCTTCACCATGCTTACAGGAATACTTACATTGGCAACACCACTGGCAGACAATGAAAGAAGTTATGTGCCAGTGAACATATCCTTATTTAAAATCAAAGTGGATATGCATAGCAATTCTCTTAAATGTTCAACCGTGTTGTGGATTATTGAATACATCAATTATCCAACTCCACTGCCAACTTTATCTTCTGATTAGATCCATGAACATGTTTCCCACAGCGATGCAGACCAAGTAAACCAAAGAGTATTTGGCACAGTTATATAAATGAAAATCTAAGAAATTTTGGAACTTCCTGAAAGTTGTCAAAAGGCTCGCATGAAAACATACAATCTGACTTCAGTGGGAGTCATTAAAAGTTTAAATTAAGTACATGTGTTTGCAGGAATGGGGCCTATTTTAAGATAAGACCAACAAAACCAGGTGTCATCAACACAGAGAGGGAAAGGGGTATGAACAACATGATTATGCAATCAGTGGGGAGGTTAGTGCATGCATCCTGAAAAAGAATTTTGTTTATATTCATTTTGTGATGCTGTACTCAGTATAATTTATGGAAATATGCTTATGAATATGACATAACTGGAATTTGCTTTACGCTAAATACCCCTTGTATGGTGTCATTAGAAAGCTTGTAATCTACTAAGTGTGTTCATCCTATTTGTTTGCATGTATTATTTCTATAACTGGAGTTAGGAGAATAAGATATAAACTTTTATCACTGATGTAAACATATTAAGTGGAGGCCATTAAGGTTGCTCCAGAAACAATCAATTGTAAATGGCCTTAGTTACTTGAAAGCCTTCCTGTGTACATGTGGGCCAGCCCATGGGGAATGGAGACTAGGGGTCCTACAGTGACATGTGACCAGGTCACCTGATAATGAAATCCATCTTAAATCTGGTACTTTTCCATTTAGAAGGAAGGGTGGGGACCCAGAGAGACAAAAGATTCCCGCCTTGTGCCAAAGCTATAAAAGGGGGCAGAGCAGGACAAAAGGGGCTGCCAGTCATGAGAAAACCCAGGCTTACCACCTGAGATATCTGCTGGAACTACCAAGGACTGTACCAGGGTAAAGAATTGGGCCTAGACTAGGAAGGCGTCTAGTCTGTGAAAGAAGCTTATTGGAACATCTATGAGGATGAGATATTAACTTGTAATCAGTTTCTTAATGTATTAGGCTTAGACTTGTATGTTTTTGCTTTATTTTGTTTGGTGACTTACTTTGTTCTGTCTGTTATTACTTGAAACCACTTAAATCCTACTTTTTATACTTAATAAAATCACTTGTTTATTAATAAACTCAGAATAAGTGATTAATACCTGGGAAGCAAACAGCTGTGTATATCTCTCTCTATCAGTGTTATAGAGAGCGGACCATTTATGAGTTTACCCTGTATAACCTTTATACAGAGTAACACAGATTTATTTGGGGTTCAGAAAGACTGAACGCTGGGTGCTTGGAAAGTCCCTGTTAACTGTGAAGCCCCTTGGCAGAGTGAATCTGTTTCAGTGAACTGCAGAGAGGCATGGCCCAACGTCTGGGTCTGTGCTGGAGCTGACTGGAGCGTCCAACTCAGCAAGACAAGAGTGGAGGGGCGCCTGTTCTGGCAGGAGGCTTGTTCTCAATGGTATCCCAGCTCACTGAGTGACAGTCTCGAGGGGAGTCTCTGTGACTGAACCCATCACATATTTGTTCATTTTATTCAAGCTATAGCTGACCTGTAACCTTAAGATAGTAAGTAAATAAGTTCTGAGAGAGATTTCAAGCAGGAGAAGGTGGAGTTGTGGCAGAAAAGATCAATATCACTTCTATGTACTTATTTTCAGTATTAATTGTTGCTGTTTGTTGTTGTTATTATTTGCAGTAACATAGTCTGGCAGACAAAGATTTGGTCTGAGAAACAGAAACTCCTGACTTTGAATTCAGTGTCTGGCACTGATTTGCTCTGTGGCCGTAGCCATTTGACATAAACTTGCTGCTTCAGGTTCCTGGACTGTAAAATGGTAATATTTATACTTACCTGCCATTCAGAAGATTAATTATTTAAGGCTCTGTATATCTCTGAATACTATGTGTTACTGTTTGAATATTAAAATATGAAAAACCTACATTACATTAAAATTGACAAAAACATATGTCAGCCCTATTGTAACTACTGACTGTAATAATACACCAGGATATAGCAGAGGGCAGTACAACAAAAAAGCAATGCTGTACCAGTGAAACAAATGTTAGGGTATAAGGCTGGATAACTTTAATCAAGTGTCCTCACCTTAGTGTCTTAATACTGTTATAGGACTGAATTTATAATGAAAATGAGGGCAGCAGCCACTCCAGCTGTTTATTTGCCATTACTAACAGGGGCTCTGAGGCTGAGCACACCCACATCTGTTTCAAGTTTATGCACCTGCTTAGATTCATTGACCACAGTGGGGCAGACCCCTTGTCAAATGTTATGTGCCAGGCAGAGCCACGTTCCCGTTATGGATGACAGACACACGAAAGGAGCAGACAGGGTGTGAATTGTTACTGGGCCTTTCCAAACCCTAATGAATTAAGCTTTTTTCGGTGTAAAGGGGTATTAGGGGCCGCACGGTACAGCGCAGGGTAAATTTCGACACTGTGAACAAAATCCTCACGGTCGCCAATTCATTATACGGGGCTGGGCGTAGTCGGTGATCCCAGCGCCTTCCCCACCACCTGGCAGCGAGCGGACGGGCAGACAGGACTGGAACCTGCCACTTACCTCCTGTCCCAGGCGGCTGGGCTAACCACTGCGCCTCCCAGTCAACCGCACAAAGAGCCTCCTCCTGGCATGGGAGGCATGCGCGCGCCCCTCCTCGCGCTTGCGCGTTCACAAGGGCGGAGGCGCGTGTCTGCCCGGGGTCCGGCGCGGCCTGAGTGCGCACCGTTTTACATCCGGGTCCCGCGACTCCTACCGCTCTGGTCTGCTGGGGGGCTGCTCCCCTCCCCCGCCGGCTGGCCGGCGCCGGGCGCTCCAATGAGAGCGGCTGCCTCTCCCTGCCTCGCGGAGCCCGGCGGCGCCGGCCCTGCGTGTGCGAGTCCGGCCAGCAGGCGAGGATGATGCCGGCTCTGGCCGCCCAGAGGCGGGGGTGGCGCTGCCTTTACCGGTTGTACCTGCGGTGCCAGGCGGCGCAGCTCAGCCGGGTCTGCCACGGTGAGTGGGGGCCGGCGGGGCAAGCCGGGCCCTCCAGCCCCCTTCCCCCGGGCGGCTGTTTCCACAGCTCTCCTAGGGCGTCTCCGCCCCACGTTACCCCTCCTGCACGGTCACGCTGCCAGACCCTCCTCGCAGCCTCCCCCTGTGAGCTGGGCTCCCCGCACTTTCCCCCCATGCAGTGCCGCCCCAAAGGCCCCCTAATCCTATCCCACCGAGACCGCCCCATCGTCGTATATTTCCAAAACCCTCTTAAAACCTCCTGTCTCTCCCACTCCACGATCCGTCATGTTCTCACAATTTGCCAAAACCTGGTGGTCTTTAATTACACTCCCATATTCCCGTTTGTTCCTTATCCTCTCATCTTCAGTGCTCCCTCTCACCAACTCAGCGCCTTCCCGAGGTCCCATCATAATTCATATTCCGTAGCCCTTAGCCTCACTCTTTGTCTGTCCACTGTGCTAAAGGGAGCAGCACCCCCAATGTTTTCTCAACTTGACCTCTGTCATTTAAAAATTGTCTGTCTGCTGTGCTGTGTTGCTAACAGCCTCTCCCACCTACTCCCTGTTGAAATTGATTGAAATAATCAGTGTGCGGTGAGGCAAAAAGTGCTGCATAAAAGTACTGGATAATAAACCGGAGGAAACAGTCCTGCACTGAATGTTAAGGGGGATAAACTAATGTGACTTAAGAGGTCTTTTTTGTATCTGAACGTCTATGAAAAGGAAGTAGTTGAGTAAATTACATGATGACTTCCTGTAGATCAGGTACTTAATCTTTGTGATGTCTAGGGCCACATTGGCAGCTTGTGAAACCCAATATTTTTAATAAAAATCTTTTATATATTTTCTTGTATGATGGGAAGAAGGTTCAGAAGTTGCTTGTCCTTTGAGTTCACTAGCAATAAAAACCTGCAGCTAGTCAGTTTTATGATCATGTGGTTTTTAGCGGGAGAAGAGCTTGTTTGGGTATGTCTACATAGCATTTTAGAGTGATCCTCCCAACCCTGGTCAATAGCTCTAAATATAGCGCTTTGAACAAGCTAGTTTCTTGTGTTTGTAGAATCCATATCGTTCTTTTCATATAGCTATTTTCTCCAAAACTAGTGCTGTACTGCTGTTTTATATAAAAAGCTGCCTAGTACTCTTGAGTAAACTTTCCAGTGTATATCACAGACAGTTTCTGAAAATAGACAATAATTTGAAGCAAGAATGTAATGGCTGAATTATTTTAGTCCCTTATCAAGAGGTTTCCTCTTTGACTGAATGTGAAATGCCCCCAAAATGTAGATAAATTCAAAATACAGTTGGGTTTAAAAGTATGCATTTGTCAAGTATCATAAAGTGTTGTTTCTGTAATTTCTTATTTATTAGACACGTGTTTAGCAGAGCATATTGAACTTTGGCATGGTATTTAAAGGCCTTTTATTGTCTGAATCACTTTGACATTAATATAACTTATGTATATTTTGTATACAGTACATTTATATTCAGATGTACTTGTTCTAGCTGTAGTGGGACATAATGTATGTAAAAGACTGTAAGGAATTTTTATGGAGTGCATGTTTTTACCAAACACACCTCTATGGTTGTGTTGTGAGATGACTTGTGTAATAATCATGTAGTCCTCTGTTTAATGTCCAGTTATATGCAATGCAAGTAAGATTAGCAGTACTTGATTTTCTAAGTATTTCCCAAAGACACCACACCAGGTTTTTTGTTTGTTTGTTTGTTTTTGTTTTTTTAGTAGGTGATTGCATTTCAGTGGTGGATGAAGTTATATTTGCAGAGGAGATGTATGCATTTTATGTGTGAGAGTCTGTTAATTTTGTTGATGCTTTGATTGCTGGCTTATGTTGCTTAACAGAAGGTGGCTGCTAATGCTGATGGACCAGAATTGTGTTCAGTAAATTTGGTATACTTTGGGCCAGTCTTTTAACACTAGCAATTGCCTAGTAAGTGTGGTCTCTCTGCAAACACAGAGAAAATGTTTGTATGTAATATTTATGTATCACACTGTAAATCACACTTTAATTGTGGCTTTTATGTTGTGGGTTAAGATATTACACCTGAATTGCAGACATCTATTACATATTTAGTCAATTAGAATATTTTTTGGGGGGTATGGGAAGTGGGATTAAAGGACAAAACTGTTAGGATTATCTTGCTAATAGTTTTGCAATGTATGCCATTGTCATTCCACTATAATATCCTCTCTGACTGCCAAGTATTTTGCTCACTATAAAGATGATTTTGTGCAGAGGATGATTAAAATAGGGTTTAATCGAGCAGTTAGACAATCTTAAAGTAGCTTTCTGTTAGATAACTTTAAGAGAATCTCATGTGCAGTGTTTCAAAGGACTAGGCTATGTGAGAAACTTAGCAAAAAATGTGTGTTAAAATGCTTGAGAAGGAGACAGGAGAAGCTTGGGAAATTGGTGAAAGGACTAGTTTTAGCTGTGTAGAGTTTACGAAATTTGAGCACCCAGGTAAACTGGGCAAAAATATTTATTAAAAGCTAATTTCCACAACTAATCTCAGCAACTCCTGTTGACACACACTTTCTCTTCTCAAACTGGTATGTGTAAACCTTTTTTCCCCTCAGGATGGCAAGGCTCGATGAAATGCGGAAGTCTCTCTCGCATACTGCCATGCAGTCGTCTAGCAGTCCAATCACTGAGTCAAGTGAGAGTTTACACTTCTGATGGTCAGAAAAAAGGCCCTGTACCAGGCCCTGAAGGAGCTGTGCACAAAGCTGGAACAGGTTGGTGTGCTTTACATTTGTTTCCATCTTAGTAGTCCTGTAGTGTGTGAATGTATCGGACATGGTTCTCACCTGTTTTATATTTAAAAGGAGCAGATATATTAGAGCATTTATTCAGCAAATGATTCTGTTAGTTTTCCTTATGCAATTAAAAACAGATCACAATGTAGAACTGTATGTATTATTATGCTGAAACTGCAGAATTTGGAAATGGTCAAACCTCCCTCCTGTATATCAAGACTTCCAGTGAACGAGCATGGGTAAAAACTTAGATACATTTCCTTTTTGTAAATACATTTTTAAATAAATGATAGATGTTGGAGAGGGATTGGATGGCTCTAGGGATAGATAATGGGATGCCTCTACAGTTTAGCAATCTGCTCCTTCCAACCTGTTTAGTTACTTGTATAAAATGAGTTGTTGCTGAAGACTGAATTGGCATAAAAATTGAACATGCTGATTAGTAGTAATTCCTTCCCCTCATGCTTGAGGCAAAATGGTGAGAGCGTAATCTTCTGTTTAAGTTGTTGGTGTTCTGAGTATAGAGGATTTCATCCTGTAGAACTGGTAATCTGGCAATGGCCACAAGTACTAAATTATGTAACATTTAATGTGGTGGAGAAGCCCATGGGCAACTTTTACTGTTGTGAAACTGTATGGCCCTGGAATTCCTACTCGAGTACTCTCCCTACAGCTGCTTTAAGGTCTTATTTTTCTTCAGTCTTAAGCTAGATGCCTCAGATTCCTGGTAGGACAGAAGCACTACCAATTCCGAGTACTTCCATTTAAGCTGGTGATGGCACCGAGGCTCTTCACGAAAGTCTTCTCTGTGAGGACGGCCCAGATGAGGTGCAATGGCCGCACCATCTTCCTGTATATAGATGACTGCCTACTAATGAGTAGATAAAGTCAGGAGGGTCTGTTGGTAATCCTTGTCTTACTGCACCTTCTGACATCACTGGGGGTCTGTGTAAACAGAGAAAATTCCACTTTGACTTCCACAAGGACTATAGATTTTTATCGGAGTGACCTAGAGTCATCCTCAGGAAAAGCCTACCTTCTTAAAGACCTATTTCAGGCTATTCATAGCCTGATAAATCAAGTCATGCTGAAATCTTGCACCACAATCAAGGTCTGTCTTTTCCTACATACATAACACTGTTTGCCAGACTCTGCATTTGCTGCCTGTAGGCCTGGCTGCAGTTTGTTTATTCATTGGACAAGGACAACATGAATACCAGTGTAACAATCCCACCAGAAGTCAGTGCCTCTCTCGTATGGTGGATGAAACCAGACCAGGTGCAAGTGCAAGTCCCCTTTTTTCCACCCATCCCTGACACAACCCTAATCACTGTTGCATTATTCATAATATGGGGAGCACATGTGGACAATCACACTACACGTGGTGCGTGGTCCCCATGGTAGGCCAGATTGCAGATAAATCTGCTGGAGATGAGGGCAGTTTTTCTAGCCTGCAATACATTTTTCTCCCTCATAAGGTCTCCCCACCTAATATTGGACAACGTGATGGGGCTTTTTATGTAAACAGGGAGGAGCAAAATCTCTTCCTCTGAGTATAGAGGCAGTGACTTACCTACCAGATGTGCAGAATACTCTGGCGGACAATCTCAGCAGGCACTTCTCCATAGACCATGAGTGGGAAATACACAATTCTATCTTGACTGAAATCTTCACCAAGTGGGTAACACCGTCTTGGGACCTATTCTCGTCACAATCAAGCAAGAAATTCAACCTCTACTGTTCCAGAGCATCATTAGGCCGAGACTCTAGGGATGATGCCTTTGTGTTATTCTGGATGGACCATCTGAGGTATTTCTTTCCTACTGTCCCCCTGCTACCTCAGGTTCTCGGCAAAATTCGCCATGACAGTGCCAGGGTTGTCCTCATCACACCCAATCAGCCCGGGCAGTTTTGGTTTCTGGAATTTCTACAAATGTCATCCTACCCTCCTAGCTGTATTCAACCCTTTGTGGATCTTTTAACTCAGGACAAGGGCAGGATCAGACATCCCAACCCAGACCTTCTTAATCTCATGGCCTGGAAGTTGGATGGTCATCAGTTTTGGAATGTTCATGGTCTGAGGCCATCCAAACTATCCTTAATAACAGCAGAAGAATCTCCACTAGAAAATGCTGTTTAGCTAAATGGAGGTGTTTCTGTACCTGGCTGCAACAGAATCAGTTATCACCTGAATCAGCAGGCGTCCTTGTCATTTTAGACTATCTTCTATCCTTCAAAATGTCAGAGCTTTCTTTTAGTTTGCTGCCAGGTGGACTTTCAGCTATCAATGCCTTTCATCCTCTAGTGGAAGGCCACTCTATCGTACTCAATCACAATTTGATTCTTGAAAGGTCTCATTAGGACCTTCCTGCTGGTGTTGAAACCTACACCACCAAAGGACTTCAGCTTGGTCCTGTCGGCTCTTACCAGATCACCATTGGAATCAATGGCCACATGGTCCATGTCACACCTCTCTGGGAAGGTTGCCATCACATTGGCCATGTCGGTGAGCAAACTGGGAGCACTCGTGTTAAACCTACAGAACGCCATATTTCATAGAGAAAAGATCTCCCTTCTCTCCTCCTGAAATTCATCCCCAAGGTTATTTCAGAGTTTCACATGAGCCAGCCTCTTTGCTTACTGATATTCTTCCCAAAGCCTCCTCTTTCCAGCAAGGAAAAGAGGCTGCACTTCCTCCATGTCAAACGGATCTTGTCCTCTTCTCTGCATAGAACAGAAGCAATGAGGAAAATACGAAGACCATTAGTCACAATAGCAGAGCGATGGTGATGGCACATTATCAGCACAGAAACTGTCTGTGTGGGTCTCTGGATACATATTTCCATGTTATCAGTTGGCACATATTCTTCCCCTGGATGGGGTGAGGGCCCACTCTGAGCATATAAAACCTCAATGGCATCTCTTTGAGAAGTACCAAGTGCTGGATATTTGTAAGACAGCTACCTGCAGGTGCGTCCATGTCTTTATGAAGCATTGTGCTCTGGTCTAGGCTTCCTCAGCATCTGCAGTTGTGGGGGCATTCATACCAACTGCATCCTCGAGCCCTCCACTTATTTTAATACTGCTTACCAATCACCCATGTGTGGAAGAAACATAGGGAGCAGCACTTGAAGAAATGGAGGTTACTTACCTGTAATTGGAGGTTCTTTGAGATGTGTAGTCTTTATTTGTATTCCACTGCCTGCCCTCCTTCCCTTCTGCTTCATATCCTATCTGATTCATGGTAAGAAGAAACTGGAGAGGCATTGGTCCACTTTGCCCTTTATGCCTTTGATTGCGAGAACAGGGAGAGCAACTGCTTATGTGCGGATCAACGGACACTATTTGCTACAAATCTCCTGTGTCAGGCATGTGGAGCACATGTGTAGCCACATGTGGAATACAGATAGGGACCATACATCTCCAAGCACCTCTACTTACAAGTAAGTAACCTCAATTTTTAGTGATTATGTCCTTAGGTAAGTCTGTCAACCTTCCTGCGCCTCCATTTCCCTATAAGTAAAAAATGGGATGTTTTTCTACCTGACTGGGCATTCTGAAGATTAATTTATTAATGTTTAAAGGGCATCTCAATCTCTGCCCACCCAAAGATCAGCAGTTCTGAATTCTAATACTTCATTCTTTTCTTGTTGGTTCATTGTGTTTGTTGTCAAGTCTCCAGAGCAGGGTAATATATTTTAAAAGGGTACTTAATGCTGTCTGAACAGTCAAATATAAATCTTGATATTTGATGTGTAATTATTTTTTTCCTATGAAAGTTTATGGCATAACCTTTCATTAAATAATGTCACTGAGATACGTTTTTGAACAAGAAAAAGTTTATCTGTACAACAGAGGGTGACTTCTGGCAAACTCTGGAAGCAAATATGCCAGGCAATCTTGTCTGTGCATATGAAGAATAATAGTTTGTCAATGCCCATTGTTTTTGAGTATGATGAGAAATGAACAGCAAAGAGTATCTTATTTATTTTGAACCATTTTTTAACATTGCTGTTCTTCAGGCTATCCAGAGAGCAGGTAACACTTTTCAAAAGGAAGAAAGGGGCTGAGTTATTTTAAGGCTTTTCCAAACTCACTTGCGGCAAGATCATTGCAAATACATTAGAAACTGTTTTGTGTTTTTCTTACTGTTACTTCTGTCTTTCCCCAAAAAATATACTCAAACCATGTTAGACCTTCTTGGTAGTTCCTGTTATATCTAATGGCTACTTGCTTGACTTAAGAGTAGTTGTGTAGCCAAAGCTATAAGAATATTTGACTTTTGAATCATTCAAATCAGATGTTAAGTCAGGAGCTTTTCATTAAGCAACATAGACCTATTTGAAGAATCCTTAAGATCTTCTGAGTACTTCAAATTGCTTCAGTTTCAATAAAATTAGTTTTAATTTTGCTATCGATAGCAGATGTGTGGCAAACATCCAGTGCTAGTGTACTAAACACAGTGCTAGATCTGTTTGTTGGAATCATAAGGATTTTATTCCGATGTTACAGTGAGTTAAGATGGTGATTTTCAGAATAAATATTCAGACATGCATTTGAACTATCTGATAACATTTCTTATTTGTGATTAGAACACACTCAAATTACTGTACGTGGATAGTTTGCAATGAGCCTAGTATCTGGAAATACATATTTTTCCCTTTTGCTATTCGGTGTCCCATTCTCTTTTTAGTAAAATAACTTTTGATTGTCTGTGTTTTGATGAGGAGTAACTATATCTTCAAATTCCAAATACAAGCTAATATACTTCTGTTGTCCAGTTTCAACAGAAATTTATGACACACAAGAAAATCTGTGGATTTTGATTTTTCATAAGCTACTGTGTTCTTCAGAATCTTAACTCTTTTGTTTAAAATGTTTCCAGGTCTTCAGATGGTTTTTAATCTGTAAACCAAAGCATTTGTGATATTTTCTGCATATCTTAGACTTCATTATCTTAATGGGGTAGTAAATGCAAACCTCAATTCTTACTACTTACATGGTAAAATTTTGCATCGAGTTTGTCCAGAACTGTAAAGATGCAGCTGAAAACATTTTGATCCGTGACTATTTTCAAATAGCCTACAATACAGTGAAACCCCTAACAACTTTGTTGAATATCAAATTTCAACTTTCAGTGGTAAATTAATGTGTATTATCTATACATTCTCTAATTCACATTATCTGAGAGTATTCACAAATACAGTACAATGAGCTAAAGGTTGTCAATTTTTTAATTCACATGATAGTAATATAACTTTGTGCACTTCTCTGTTGGCCTTGCTAACAATAGTCTTTTATTTTATTTAATTATAATTGTTTACATGAATCAGCAGTGAGGGTTTTTTATTTTTTACAGCACGGGATACCAGCAGTGCAGGCCAAAAACCACTTTTATTGCAAGAGCCAATCCAAATAAAAGGTAAACATGTATGTTATGTTGCAATGTTATGGTTGTTAGGGTGTGGTGTTTCCTTTTAAGGTATCTTTCCGACTTTAGAAGTTATAAGACTTGGAGGAAATCATCTTTGAACATTAGGAGGCCCATGAGTAAGTAGGAAATGTGTAAGGTAGTTCATGTCTTGGGCTTACTTACATACATGTTTGTGGAAAAACATTCACATATCAACTTTCCATTTGGTGTCTGTTTATTTTGGAGAATGTCTTCTGAAAATAGAGCTACTCAGAGATGGAGTGAATAATTAGAAATAGTGTTGCTGCCATAAGTGTGGCTTTAACTACCACTTTAAGCTGATAAATCACAGATAAAGCGGAGGTATAGATTTATCTCCCTTCATCCAGTCTAGTATCTCAGCTTGTCTTTCATGTCTTCAGGGATATCCAGTCAACATCTAAAACTCAGCATGGCCAAAACAGAGATTTTTGATCTCTTCCCCTGCTCCTAGCCTCAAGCCCTCCTTTCTCCTCTTAACATGGTGAAAAACAGCATCAAGTCTATTAAGAATGCTGCAGCTAAAACACCTTGTTGGCTTGTCATTCTGACCATGTCAGCCCCCCCTTCCTGGGCTTCCCTCTTCACACCTGCAACACATACAAGCTTCCTTGTCTTTATCTTTAAGACCTCCCATAACTTAACCCTAGCCTACCTAGCTGATCTAACCTATTGTCATGTTGACTACTGCCTTATCTCCACCAGTACTCCTAGCCTTTGCTACTTACCAGTTACCTTCTTCCTTAACCTCCTCTGTGCTTTTAACCACTCTGCACCTTATGCATGGGAAAAACTCCCTGATAAAATCTGAATGGTTGCTACTTTATCTTCCTTTAAATCCTTTTTTAAGACTTGCCTCTGCTCCAATACCTACAAAACTCAGGCTGCTGATCCTGGCTAGACAGGTAATACTCTGCCTATTCCTCCTCTCTCCTCTTCTACTTCCTTACTTTAAGCCCAATTAACCCTCACTTCTCCCCTCTTCCCCCAACTATAGTACATGTAATTAACACATCTGTGTCAATACTTCACCCTACTCATTTCCTTGTATGTTCTGTTCACATCCTCTAACCTTCAGTGTGGGCCTATTTTTGCTAAGGAAAGATGTGTTTTGTATAAAGAGATAGCTAACTCACTGTAAAGCAAGCAAGCAAACAAACCCACAACTTTTTGCTAGTGAAGACACATCCTTTGCGTCTTTAAATTGTAAGCCCTTCAGGGCAAGGATTCCCTCTTGTGTATTTCTATGATGCTCAGCTCAGTGGGACTATATAGGCCTTTAGGCACAACTGTATCCTAAATATTTACTGTTACAGACAGTAACAAAATAACAAAACACTGAAAACTCTTAAAGGGGACACTCTTCACCTTAAAATTTGTGTGAAGTTTGGTGGGTGGTTGTTTTTAAATTTTTTAAACTTTTTTTTTTTATTACATTACTGTGGAAACTTAAAACTGAAATTATTTTTCAAATTTGTCTTCTATTTTGAAATATTGAGTGGATACTTTGTGAACTGTTGCTAATGCATATCCCAAGATATGAAAGTTGTTAAACTTGTTCAGGGGTTTGTTTAAAGAACAAAATTAAAGCATGCAAGAGCCATTTTCTCTGTTTGACAATTGTACTCTTCCATTCCAGTGCCCAAGAAACTCTGTGTTAGTGTCCATTAGATCCAAAGAGCAATCTGGGGTAGATCATGATGCAGCACATATTATTAGATGCTGAACGTTTACTTTAAAACAGTGTTGTAGATTAAAAAACCCACTGGATACCATAAATACACCAGAATTTTTGTAAATAAATGCTGAAATCTGTAATGCCTGTGGGTTGCTCAGTGTCAGCTGAAACCTTTTGCTTCAAATCTTCCAGAATTCGGACCAGAAGGAAGGCACAAGCGTTAACATTGAGGATAGTTAACCATTGGAACAAGTTACCAAGAAATGTGGTGGATTTTCAATCAGTTGAAGACTTTAAATCAGGACTAGATATCTTTCTAAAAGATATGCTATAGCTCCAGCAAAAGTTATGGGCTTGATGCAGAAATTACTGGGTGAAGACTTAAAGCCTCTGTTCTGGAGGTGGTCAGACTAGAATCCTAGAGGTCTCTTCTGGCCTTAATCTATGAATTGTAAATTTTCAAAGATCTCTGTTCTCCTTTAATACACCTAATATACTTCAACTGTAACTGTTCTTTAATGGCGACCTGCCTAAAATATTAACAGAAGTAAACTTAATAGTGATTTTAAAATTATAAATCACTGTAAGGACATTATACTTGGGTGACAAGCAGCCAAGAATGGCATAACTGGAAGTAAGATAAATTTGCATTTAAAATTGTATGTATTCTCATGGTCTCCTGCTTGTGCATCGGATTCTGAAAAGTTTATAGTAGAATCTCCTAGCTAGATATTACATATAAATAAGGAATGTGTACTTTTAACTGTTCTATAATCCACAAAGCACAGTATGGCAATTTGAAGAGAGAGAACTCTGGAAAGTACTAGGTGGAGTATTTAAAAAATAAAGAAGTGGAGGGTACAGTCTGTTTCAGTTCTGGTTTAGGTCTGAAAAGATCTGTAGCAATAGCAAAATAATTAACTACTGAGATTAGAAAATAATTTGCAAAGTCTTTGGCCACCAGTGACTGATTAGAACTTTATGTTTATATCTGCTTTTTTTGTTGCCAGAATAGCTATTTTTATTATATTAAATGTCAAAATTAAGTTAAATTACTCTGTTCTTAATAATGTTTATTTCCATTCTGTCCAGAAAATTAATAATTTTCCTATCAGAGTACCTTCCTCTTTTATTTCTCTCATTAAATGTCTTTATCCCAGAATCCCTGGCAGGAAGGAAGAATTTACATGTCTCCATTTAAATGGGGTAAACTCACGCTTTCCCATGATTTCACGTAGGGCTAAATTGTTTTTCAGGGCATGCTCCATATGACTTTTAATTACACTTGATAATGCGTTTTGTTTTTGTTTTTTTTGTTTTTTTTTAGTTAAAGCAGTTCTTAAAAAGAGAGAATATGGACCAAAATACACGCAAAATAATTTCATCACTGGTGTCAGAGCAATAAATGAGTTCTGTCTTAAATCCAGGTACAGTAGTTTAAGTGAGTTAAAGTATAATTGTCAATATATTTTTGACTTGTTCGTATGTGTTTCAGAGGTGAAGAATGGCTTAGCAGCATGGGTCACTAATCCTGACTGAAATGTCTAGGCGCCGCTCCAATATACACAATAAATTGTAGACTGACTGAGCTGATGCTTCGTTTGAAAATGACTAAGCTTCAAGCTAATTGCAGTCATGGTGGCTGATGGATTCAAACTCTTTCCTACCCTTTTAAAGGGGCATTGTAATAGTTCAATATATATACTTTTAAAACAAAATGAACTTCATTTAAGTTCTCTTTCCAACAACTCTATCCTTCCTGTTCTCTAGAGTGCTGACTCTGCATGCCAAGAAGTGCAAATCCCATTAGTCACTGAAGAGAAAATGCTATCTCTGGGACAGCCAGCTTTTCACAGGGTGCACAGGCAGCCTTGTAGCAGTAGTTAGAAACCATGCAAATCTCTAAAATATGAAACCCCACTTAGAAGCCATAAGAAGCTTCATTTTAAACTTAAGGTACTTTAATATTATATCTGTTTACAAATGCTTATTATATGTTGCCAAATTAAGACTTAACTCTCACTATTATCCTGACTTAATCACATGTATCATTCTGGACTATGGTTATTGTTACTCAAATGTATATTTAACTCTCTTTAGTGTCTGTCATCCATTGCTGGCATCCATTTAAACAACACAATTCAAAGGTGTGATCTCATTTATAAAATCCTGTTTGACCTTTATTAAATAAGTTGTTTGCAGTGGTGGTGCTGGTGTTGCCATGTTTGTCCCAGGATACAAAAGACAAAGATAGGTGAGGTAATATCTTTTATTGGACCAACTTTTGCTGGTGGAAAGGACAAGGTTTTGCGCATTACAGTGCTCTTCCTCAGGTCTGGAGAAGGTACCCTGAGTGTCTTGAGACAAATACAAAGTGGGACATATTGTTAAGCAGAAGGGTTTCACGCATAGAGATGACCCTTCTGCTTAACAATATGTCCTACCTTGTCTTTAGCTCTGACACTCAGGGTACCTTCTCCAGACCTGAGGAAGAGTACTGTAATGCTCAAAACCTTGTCCTTTCCATCAGCAAAAGTTGGTCCAATAAAATATATTACCTCACCTACCTTGACTCACTCTCCATTAAATATGAAAGTTTGGTGACTTTTATAGCAGTTACAATCTTTAACTTCTGTTTCTGCTCTGGGTCTGTCTTACCACCCTAGTATCTTAGACCAGCCAGAGGTCTTAATTAAGTGAAATCATTTTATCATAATTTATTTTCTCTATAGGCAGATTAATTTGAAAATATATGTGTTGGCTTTTACATAGGAAGTTCTGGACAGAAATAATAGGACCATAGGTTAGTTACTGTGATAAAATCAAATTAATTCCTATTTTATATATAAACATCTTCTATAATCTGAGTGTCTTGATTCAGATGCTGGAGGAAGTAACTAGGGGGACAGCCATTTTAAACTCGATTCTGACTAACCGGAAGGAATTGTGAATCTGAAGGTGGAAGGCAATTTGGGTAAAAGTGATCATGAAATAGAGTTCATGACTCTAAGGAAAGGAAGTGAGAGCAGCAGAATAAGGACAATGGACTTTTAAAAAGCAGATTTTAACAAACTCGAGAACTAATAAGTAAGGTTCCACAGTGAGAAAATGTAAGGGGAATAAGCAGTTCAGAAAAGCTGGCAGTTTCTAGAAGAGACAATATTAAAGTCACAAAAGAAAACTATCCCAAACTGAAGGAAAGATAGGAAGAATAGTAAGAGGCCAATTTGGTGGCATGAGGAGCTCTTTAATGACCTGAAAATCAAAAAGGAATATATAGAAAGTGGAATCATGGACCAATTCTAACTGAGAGTACAAAAGTATAGCAAAAGCATATAGATATCTGAGCAAAATCAGAAAGGTTAAGAAACAAAATGCGTTATACTTAGCAAGGGGCACAGAAGGCAGGAGGAGAGGTTCTGTAAATACTTTAGGAGCAAGAAAAAGACAAAGGAAAGCATAGGTCTACTACTTAGTGAAGAAAGAGAGCTGCTAATTGACTACACCAAGAAGGCTGTGGTGTTGAATGCCTATTTTGCTTCAGTCTTCTCTAAAAAAGTTAATTGTGACCAGAATCTTAACGTAGTTTATATTAACAAAAAGGGGAAGGAACACAAGCCAGAATAGGGAAAGAACAGGGTAGTTAATATTTAGATAAGTTAGATATATTCAAGTTGTCATGAATATGTAATGTACCTCAGGGTACTTCAGGAACTACCTGAAGCCATCTCAGCACTGTTAGCAATTATCTTTGAGAACTCATGGAGGATGTGTGAGGTCCCAGAGGACTGGAGAAGGGAAAATGTAGTACCTACCTTTAAAAAGGGGAACAAAGAGGACCTGGGAAATTATAGACCAGTCAGCCTAACTTTGATACCTGGAAAGTTACTGGAACAAATGATTAAATAATCAGTTTTTATAAGCACCTAGAGGAGAATAGGTTGATAACTAGCTCCAAATTTAGAAGCAAAGGAAGATTCCCAGTGTTATATTATCACAGAAATAAAGAGGCTGCCATTTGCAGATGCAGTCAGCCTCTGTCAAGTTTCAGTGCCGCATGTCTGGAGGATGAAAATATGCTGAATGCAATCACTATAGCCGACCCTGCTCGTCACCACATGTACGTCATGGACACTCAGCCCAAGCTTAATGCAATGGCATGCAAAGGGTATGAAAATGAAGGCAACTATGCTAACATTAGATTCCAGTTTGTTGGCATTGAAAACATTAATGTAATGAGATTCAGCCTGCAGAAACTTTTAGAAGTCAGCTGTACAAAAGCTTTGTCAACAGTTTCTTGTCTGGTTTGGAGAACTCTGGCTGGCTGTCATATCAAAGCTGTGTTGGATGCTGTTACGTTCTTAGCCAAAGCAATAGCAGTTGAAAATGCAACTGTGCTAGTTCATTGCTCTGATGGCTGGGACAGGACTTCCCAAGTTTGTTCCCTTGGCTCTCTCTCGTTGGATTTATAGTATAGAACAATATAGGGCTTCATGGTTTTAATAGAGAAGGACTGGCTCTCTTTTGGACACAAATTTTCTGACAGATGTGATCAATTGATGGTGACCCAAAGGAAATCTCTCCAGTGTTCACTCAGTTTTTAGAAGGTGTGTGGCATCTCACAGAGCAGTTTTCACAAGACTTTGAATACAATGAAGCTTTTCTCCTTTAGATCCATGAACACGTCCATTCATGCCAGTTTGGAAACTTCTTTGGAAACTGCCAAAAAGAGCAAGAAGAACCAAAATTGAAAGAGAAAACATATTCCTTATGGATGAACAAAAGAAGTATCCAAAATCCTCTATACAATCCAGATTTTTCCCAGAAACTTGCCCTCTGGGAGCCTAACAGTGTCCTTCAATTTTAAGTTTTGGAGAAATATGTACCATCAGTTTGACTGAACTATGCACCTCAGGCAATCTGTATTTAATTTCACCTTGACCATGAGTGAACAAAATAAACAACTCGAGAAAGACTTTAGCTTCCAGGCCTTTAAAATGAAACAGAATCAGGCAATCAGAAGAATTCCTCACTAAGGAACCATTGCAGTCTGTCCATCCTGCTTCCCCAGCACTCAGATATTCTCCATGCTTTAGAAGGAGCAGCCTTTTGGTATCTATGAATGACTCCATTCGAACTATAGAGGGCAGCAATACAGCAGACAATTGCTACAGTGAATAGAAAGTAGTAGCCAATATGGATATGTCAAGAACAAATCATGCCAGACCAACCTAATTTCCTTCTTTGATAGGGTTACTGGCCTAGTGGATAGCAGTAGATGTGATATATCTTGATTTTTAGTAATGCTTTTGACATTGTCCCACATGACATTCTCATAAGCAAACTGAATTACTATAGAGTGCATAACTGGTTGAAAAGTCATACTCAAAGAGCAGTTATCAATAGTTTGCTGTCAAACTGTGAGGATGTATCTACTGCGGGTCCTGCAGGGCTCTGTCTTGGTCTGGTACTATTCAGTATTTTTGTTCATGACTTGGATAATGGAGTGGACAGTATGCTTATAATATTTATGGAAGACACCAAGCAAGTTGCAAGCACATTGGTGGACAGGAGATTAGAATTCAAAAGGACCTTGACAAATTGGAGAATTGGTCTGAAATTAAAAAGACAAAATTAAATAAAGATAAATGCAAAATACTACACTTTGGAAGGAAAAATCAAATGCAAAATGGGGAATAACTGGCTATGTTACCCGGGGTTCTTTCAACCCAAACCTCCTGGTAACTTTTATTCTGTGCGAGGTGGTGTCAGGAAATAGATCGGGGTGACACGGCCATCCTACTGATAGATGGCTGGCACAAACAGGACAACACAAGAGTGCTTTCACTTAAAGCTAAACTTTACTTAGTCTCAAGCACTTACATCCACAACAGGTTAGTAAAACACCCCAACCCTTGATAATTACCAAAGCTGAGTGTGGCTCTTGAGTAACACAGCACCAGGCTTCCGGTGGCCAAATCTTCCGTCTGCCGTTGGGGACTGCAAGATGTATCCAGAGGGAGAGTCCAAAAAGAGTCCAACTACCTCAAACTTTCCCCCTTATTTACACATTAAGGGACATGTCATTCTATTACTAAAGAAAACTGGTTAAGTAGGCAGTTTCAATAGTCAAGCAAGAGGTTCCTTCTGATTATCGATTAACCAGGTGTGGGTTTTTCCAGAGTTTGCAGTGTTGAGGCCCCAACAGACGTTCCTGGGGCACATCCTGCTCTTCGAAAATGCATGTATCAACCACTTCAACACAATTTTTATCAGGAAGGATGCGGGGTCAAGCTGCCCTTTCTGTTGCACCCAGAGACTCCCCTCCCCTCCTGCCTTGGTCAAACCTAAGCCTGCTGACTTGGCTAATTTACAGCTTGCTGACTTTGTTGCTTTTAGCAATAAGCCAGAGTGGTTTCAGGCTCTTTACTGGTTTGCCAAAGTCTCCCCATACAGCTAGGCAGTAGTATTGCAGAAAAAGAATTGGGAGGTTATAGTGGATCACAAATAGTATATGATCCGGTAGTGTGATGCAATTACAAAAAAGGCAAATATAATTCTGGGATGTATTAACAGGAATATCGTATGTAAGGCACAGGAGGTAATTTGTTCTGATCTTCTTTGCATTAGTGAGGCCTCAGCTGGAGTATTGTCCAGTTTTGGGTGTCACATTTTAAGAAAGATGTGGACAAATTGGAGAGAGCTCAGAGGAGAACAATAAAAATGATAAAATGTTTAGAAAATTTGACCATGTTTCGTTTTGACAAAGGAAAACGGAGGGGGCACCTGATAAGTGTTCAGATATGTGAAGGAATGTTATAATGAGGATGGTGATCAGTTGTTCTCCATGTCCACTGAAAGTAGGACAAGTAGTAATGGGTTTAATCTGCAGCAAGGGAGATTTAGGTTAGCCATTAGGAAAAATTTTATAACTAGAAGGGTAGTTAAGTACTGGACTAGATTAGCAAGGGAGGTTGTGGAATCTCTGTCATTGAAGGCTTTTAATAACAGGTTATCTGTCAGGGATGGTCTAGAGACTTGGTTTTGCCTCAGTATGGAGGAATGGACTTATATGATCTCTTGAGGTTCTTTCCAGCTCTACATTTCTATGATTCTATAAAGTGTATTACAGTTAAAAAAAAAACAAAAAAAAAAAACCCAACACCCCCCCCCCCCAAACTGTTAGCCAAACATAGCAAATACCTGCTCAGCAACAGTTTTTACATAGCTTTAGACCTGTGTTACTGAAAGAGGCGGAAATGACCTGGGTATTGGACGTAATCCTTTAGGCTCTCTTAAAGTGCCACATGACCTCTAATTTTCATGTAGGTAGCTGCCAGAGAGGGAATTAGAGGGAGTATGGGTTAATTTATCCAAAGAATTTCTTCCTTTCAGTTGCTAAGGTGTAACATTCCCATGTTGTTAATATGGGCCCACAGTTTGGATTTTGAGCTCAGGCAAATCACATTATGATCTTCAAGAGCAATTTAAAGAACACTGTATACTGATTGTATTGCCACTGGATTGTGTTTAAGTAGAAACCCTCAGCTTCCTGTCAGTTTCTTTAAACTTGCCAAGTTAAGGAAAAAATTAGGGTAGATTTTTAAACATAATATAATCCTTTTAAGGATCAGTACGTTTGATCTTTATATTGACTCTTTTATGTATAGTATGAACATGTTTTTTGTTGCAATAAACTGTTTGTTTCCATCCTCCAACAGTGATCTAGAACAGCTGAGGAAAATCAGACGACGAAGTCCCCATGATGACACTGAGGCTTTCACTGTATTTTTGAGATCAGATGTAGAGGCAAAGTAAGCTAATTTTTTTAAAAGGAAATTATTTGGTAATTTGAGTAATTTAACTTTGGTTATATGAGAGAATGGTATAAGATATAATTTTAAAAGGTTAGCTTTATAATGAAAAGGGCAGTAATATTTTTCCTTCTCTAAATGCATTTAAATGTTTCCGTTGTCGTCGTAACTCGGGACAGGATGCAAAATTGAAGGGTCACATTGTATATATCCAAATTGAAATCTAACTCTCCCCCTACACTGTCTTATCATGTGAGATTAATCTGGATGGATGTCTTCCAGAAGAAATATTGATAAGCCATTATGCTACTCTGGTATTAATGAAGGCTTGGGTTATGTAGTCAAAAACTTGAAATTCAAAGCATTTTGTTTTATAACATATAGTGTGTGGAAATCAAAAGGATTTCCAAATTATTTGTACTTTCGTGCAGATCTCTAGAAGTTTGGGGAAGCCCGGAGGCTCTTGCTAAAGAGAGAAAACGACGTAAAGAAGCAGAGATAGAATACAGAGAAAGTAAGTGTTGGATTTTCAAATGTCTACAAAATGCTTTATCAATCACTGTTAACTTCAGCTTCATACTTCCCTATGGGAGAATAACACATCAGTCACTTCACCCTTGTATGAGTGTCTAACATACATATGTTTTTGTGGTATAGTGTGACCATGAGAAATGTGTGTATTGTTAATGTACACACAGGAGGTGTATGTGATGTGTTTAAATGAGTTAATCTTAACTGAACATATCGTTGCTTTTGTGGATTAATTTGTAGCTATTGTTAAACAACCTGAATGGTTTTTGAGGAAAGTTTTTTTTTTTTTTTCTTTTTTCTTTGTGAGAATTTACAAAAATACCAAAACCAATTCAAGCCTTGCCTTTTATTTGTTTTATGCTATTTGAACTACTGATTCATGGTACCTTATCTTTTGTAACTTTAGTCTAATGCTTTTAAAAGTATGTATTCTGATGATCCACTCTTTCCTTTAAAACAGAATTGTAGATTTTATTCATAATGTTACAACAAAACTCAATCAATTCAATATTTACAATAGATTCCATTTTTCTCTTGTTGGAAGCACTGGCCTATTAAAATAGCAGAAGCAATATTCTTTGAGGTGGTTGTTTCAAGTACGCAATTTTAAAATTAGAGGTCTGTTGTAGTTCATAGAAATAAGTTTACCATTGAAAAAGCTGGCCTGATCCTGCAAACACATAGCACCTCTGTAACTTAATACATGTGTAGTCCCAATGGAAGGGAGGGGTACTTGTCTGCAACTGTTTGTAAAGATTGTAAGAGTTGAAACTGTTTTTAAGGATTTTAGCCAAATATTGCAAAGTTGGAGCCTGGAAGCTTAACAACTCGCAAAACTTTCCAGATCTTAATGTGAAAGCAAGACTGTAAAAACTGAATAAAATCTCAGTGGTACCATGCTGTTATATGAGTGTACATTTACTGTATTAGAGCACTGTCCTTTTGAAGTAGGAATTGCCTATCAGGCTGACCAGTATTGTCTCATTATTTCCTTGTATTCCCAGCTGCACCAGTCTCTTCTCTCTTGTCTTATACGTGGATCGTAAACTCTTTGGGATAGGGACCCTCTTTTTGCTCCTTTTGTGTGCTTAGTGAAATGGGGTTCTGATCCATGGCTATGGCTCCTAGGTGCCATGGTAATACAAATAATATTTGTGACAGAGCAGCAGTGTAGGAAAAAGGGTTCTGAAGTTGAGGGTGCTGAAGAAATAATCTGGGGTGAGACCCTCACACATGTTCTGGTCCCTTTACTTCAGGTAAAAGGGACAGAGCTGCATAGAGGGTCTCTAGAAGCCCAGATCTGGCTAGGGGACAAATCCTTCAGCACAGCAACTGTGGAAGACAGCTATAAGGCTACCTTCCAAGGACCCTCTTGCAAGCTCTGGCATATGAGATGTGTCAGTAGTCAGGAGAGGTATATCGGGGCAGAGTCATAGCACAAAGAGCTATGGAGGTTGTGGGGCAGCACTGGGGCAGACTGTTATTTATACAGATCCTCCCCAGGGCTCTCTGTGTTATGCCAGGGGCTGTGGAATATCCCAGAACTAGGAGGCTGCAAAGCTGATTTAGAGCCACCATAGTTCCCTTCTCCCTGGCCTGTAGATTGTGTGGCACCTCTTAGAGATGACATACAGACTCTCACCCCTAAACTTAAATTATTTTTGAAGATGTGATGAGGCAACTAAGACACCTGTCAGTTTTTTGGTAAAGATAATTTTCAGTTTCAATTCCAATGCTAAGTATTTACCATGTTATGCCGGGGTACTGTTAAGAAACAGATCCTTTAAGAAATCTAAATTTGACCAGATCTGTCTGTTTAATATAAATGCATTTGTATGCAGTAGCAAACTTACCTGAGTTGTGTAAAGAAAAAAAATCTTGAAATGCTGAAGTTATTTTCAACTTCTAAGTGCTGCGTGTAACTAGAGTTGTCTTATTGCAGATCTATTTAGAAACCAAAAGCTATTAAAGGAGTACAAAGATTTTCTTGGGGATACTAAGGTAAGAGATCATTTAAATTCCTTTGGTAAAATCACCATTAAGGTGTATGTGTGGTTGCTTAGAGCATATTTCTGAGAAAAAGAATGTGAGAAAAAAAGTATAGGTGGCCTTACAAGATTTGGATGAAAGTTGTAAATGGCCTGTAATGTATCTGTTTTATATCATTCTGATTGTAATAGAATCTTAAACTTCTAAAATACTACTTAAATGGATTCCGATATAATCATAGTATGGCCCATTTGTAAGAGCTGGTTTGTGGATCTCCTCCTCTGCCAGATATCTAATCACAGTCCCATTGTGATTCCACCCCAGTCCTGTGACAATTTGCTGAATGTGTACAATGCACAAAGTTAATTATATAAAATCATATTAGTTGATTTTTTCCATTTCATTTTCCCTCCATCTGTTTGAACAAATCTCCTCAGCCTGTTTTGGCTTTCTTGCTTCCCTCTCCCTAAGCAACCTAGTTCAGAGAGCTTCTAACTCCAGTCCTGCTGAGTGATACCTGACACTTCTTTCTGATGGACTCTGGTTCCTCTCCTCACTCTATTTATAGTTGCAGTGGCCCCTCATGGAGGCTGCTATGCTTGCTTAACCTCCTTTACAGCTGTTCCTACACTGTCTATTGAGCTGAAAACGGAGTTGTCAGTATCAGGTGAATAACCAAGAGCTCCACAGACCACAGTTTGAGAGCTTCTGCACTAAAACTAGGTATCTTAGTTATGCATGAGACCAAACTGTAAATCTAGTGAGCTGTCCATGATAAATTACTGGATTATGCAGAGCTATACCTCAGCTGTTACAGGAATTCTAGTACTACATGATATTGTAGGTATATGCGGTGTACACTAGACTACTGTTAGTCCCTTCATAAAACCAGGATTTAGTTATATTACTACTTCATTGTTTCAGTTTAGCAATTTATTTTAGCATTCTCTCATTTCTGTACATAGCCACGCTCCAGCACAGGTGCTATGTTGCTCAAAGGACCAGGAAAGGTGGTGATGGTTGCTATTTGCATGTAAGTTTGAAAAAATAAATGTTTTGTAAATGCAAGTGTAAAAAATTGTATATCCTAGAAATGGAAATAGTCTGTATATTTGAGTTACAGGTCCTAGTGTTCCCTGCAATTCTGCAGCTATAAAATTTGCTGAAGAGCCCCCATTGCTGCAGCAATGTGACCCAGAAAACAACCTTTATTTAACAGAAATCATGGGCAGATTTTTTTTAAATGGGTGCCTAAAATTAGGCTCCACGTCCATTTTTAGGCATTTCGTTAAATAAACGGCATGACTTTCCAAAGTGCTGAGACTCCAGTAGCTCTCATTGAAGCCACTGATAACGTAATAATAAAGCAAACCTGAAAAGCAGCTAAAACATTAGTTTCACTCCTCTTTGTCTGTAAAATAATAAAACAAACTACAGCAGTTAGGTTTCATTAAGATTTAATTACCTTTAGGAGATGCTACAGTACAGCTTTAATATTCTGTGGAGTATTATAAATGTAAAAAAAAAACCTCTTATCAAAGTAAGTGCAGTATTTGTTTTTAAAAACATTACTTTCCAATGTACATAATCTGTAATGGATCATCCTGTTGATAGTAAGAATTTAGCAAAATTCTTCTCTCTCCAGAGAGAGAGTTTAGTCTGTAGACTCAAATCTTAGTTGAAATTAATAGATTTATTTGTATGCCTCGACAAACAGAGGTTAGGCTCCTTTTAGGAGTACATTCATCTATATTTAGAGATTAGAGAGACTTGTTCCTTCTTTGATCAAAGAAAGGCTAGACTTTCGAACCTGGTCAGCTAGACAATTAATGATTAAAACAGCAACCAAAATTCTTGAAGGTGAATGGCATAGGCAAACACTTTTATAGCTCTTGCTCGTTCCTGCTCTTGTATGATGTATAAAGAGAACTTCATGTATTTTGAAACAAGTTTATTTTTGTTTTGTTTGTGAACTTGAAAAATGTCAAAGGGTTAACTTTTCTGCTTTTGCTGGAGAGTTTCCTTAAGGACCCCATCAGTAGAAGGGGAGGAGTGTTAAATTTTTCACAAAGATGATTTCTTCTTCAAGTATTTGTCAGGAGTTTGAGTTAAGTGAAACAAACAGAAATCCTACCTTTAAATACATCTGACTGAAAACTATCACTAGTTTTCCACAGAGTTTACCCACAAGACAAGGAAGTGAAGACTGAATATTTCTAATAAAAAAAAAAAAAAAAAAGAAAAGACAACCACGCCGAAGAATAAAACTTTTTAGATGAGCACAGTGGATCTTTTAAACAGATTCACTTCATTTTTCTAAAAAGTGTGACTCTTTCCTCAGATCCAGTGGAAGGTAATACATGAGCAAAATAGCAGGAACTATTAAGAAAACAGTAATTTGTAACCCCAAGAGAAAAAGCTGCAATTTGATAGGAAGTATCCCTGAATTTGTTTACAGCTCCTTCTGCTTTTTGTTCAGGAAAAAAAAGGATCAGGAAAGTAACTTCACTGAAAATAGCCCTTCTCTATCATTCAAGAGATTCTATTATTAATTAATCTGAGCCTCGAGTTTGCTCTGTTAAATAAATGTACAATAACCACTACTGTGTGTGTACGGAGGGAAAGAGTGGCCTGTATTATGCACCCTTCCTTTTTCTTTCCTGCATCAGGAAATCATGTACAAATCTTGCCCTTCCTCCTTGGAATTGGGCACAGCCACGATCATGGCACTCATGACCTCAAGGGAACCCCTCTGCAGATTAGGGGTCTGCAGTGGGGTGGAAAGGATGGATACCTGCCAGGCGGGGGCAGTTAGGATGACATGCATCCTCCCTTCTCCAGCCCTGCAGAGAATCCCTGAGAGGATAATTGAGTAACAGGCTCTTATCTCTTATGTGGCGCTCTTTCCGGGCGTTAAGAGAGCTGCAGTGGCTAGTGGGAGAGCCTGGTAGTTTGTCAGGGACTTGGGTGGTGGGGTGCCAGGAACCAGAATCAATGCAGAGGCACAGGGCTTCCATGTAATGGGCCCTGTCCTCCTACATGTCCTCAGCATGGATCTCTGAGACTCGGCAATACAGTAATTCCCCACTTAACTTCCTCTTGCTTAACGTTGTTTCGATCTTACGTCCCTGCTCAATTACTGAACATGCTCCATTTAAAGTTGTGCAATGCTTCGCTATAATGTTGTTTGGCTGCCTGCTTTGTCCACAGCTGGCAGCCCCCCTATCAGCCCCCTACGCCCCGCCCGCCCCACAGTGCCCCCTGCCCTCCAGTAGACCCCGCAGATCAGCGCTCTCCCGCGGCAATCAGCTGTCTTGCGGCATTCAGGAGGGAGGAGCGAGGACGCGGCGCGCAGGCTCCCCTCCTCTCCCCTGCATCCTGAATGCCGCAAAGCAGGTGATTGCCACGGGAGGGAGGGGGGAGGCTGCACGCCGCGTCCTCACTTCTTCCTCGTGCCCCCTGAACATCGCAAGCTAGCTGATTGCCTTGGGCAGGAGGGCGGACGCAGCGTGCAGCTTCCCCTGCCTCCTGCCCGTGGTAATCAGCTGGCTTGCAGCGTTCAGGAGGCCTGCGTGCCATGTCCTCGCTCCTTCCCCCTCCCTCCTGAATGCCACAAGCCAGCTGATTGCTGCGGGCAGGAGGCAGAGGAGGGAGGGGGGAGGAGCGAGGACTCGGCATGTGGAGTAAAGGGGGGGGAAGAAGAGGCAGGTTAAGTGTGGGGGCTTGGGGGAAGGGGTGGAGTAGGCGGGCCGAGAGTTGAGGCCCCCCCTGCCCCATGCTTGCAGAGTAGGGGAAGCTGCTGCTGTGCAACATGCTTCTCCTAGCCTACAGCACCTTCAGCCTCCTTGCGTGCCTCATTGTCTCCAGTGCCAGTGGGCTGTGCCTGCGTGGGGTAAGGCGGGGGCACCTCCCAGCTATAGTACTGTACTGTCTAGCAAAAAAAAAAAATTTCCCTGGAACCTAACCCTGTTATACCAATAAAATAAAAACCAGCAGGATCTTATTAAAGGGGAAAAGGCAAAATACCACATTTATTGTGAATACAGAAAGAATCATAGTAAGCAGTTAGTTATAGCTATAACATTCCATTCAATCTCATATTTATTCACACATTCATTCATACAAACACACGCGCACACACACACACAGGTTCTGCAAGGTTATCATAGTTACCAGCCTTAGAGTTGCTCATGCCAAGCCACTGGCTAGGTGGCCTGGACATGAGGAGGGAGCAGGGCCTTGTCAGATGCTCATCTGATGCTCCTGGAAGTTGGTTTGCAGAATCAGACCCCAAAGTTCTCACTTTCTAGAGTCCATTTTTATAGGAGTTTCTTCCTATGCCAGTCTATGGGAATTGCTTCATCATGCTGTTGCTGAATCAATCAGCAGATGGCACATTCCTGACAGCTCTGTGCTGCCAGATGTTATCTTGTTCTTTGGTTCTCCCATTCTTGAGGCTTCTGGGTGGATTCCAGTCTGCCCACCAGGTGTCCTCTGGTTATTTCCACTTGACGCCTTCTTCAGCCGATGGACACTGGATTCTTAGGCTGGCACCTCCCTGATCATTCAGTTATTATCCACACCAAGCATCCATCCACATACATCCTCTATCTCTATTTTAATCACAATTGTTAATACAACAAAAGGGCGGGGAGTCTCTGGGTGCTGTTTCTGTTGTTACAGAGTATTGCTTTGAGTCTCTCTCTGTGTGAATTGCTTTGAGAACAGACTCTGTCTTAGAATGTACTAACGCAATTAGCAGCTTGCAAGTTTCACGCATAGAGAGAGAGAAACAGTACCAAAAACCAAGAGATCTCTTAATTAGTAATACCCTGGAATTTAAACTATGGGGAATCAAACTCATTTCTGATTTTAATACAGAACTTCTTTAATATGGTCCAACAACCCCCCGCCACCATTTACATTCATTCTTATGGGGAAATTGGATTCACTTAACATCGTTTCACTTAAAATCGCATTTTTTCAGGAACATAACTACAACGTTAAGTGAGGAGTTACTGTATTTGGGGGCAAGTCCTGTCTTACTTGACAAGAGCAAACTCTGCCCCTCACCCCCAAACGGACTGATGTGTTGCATTCCTTACAGAGATTGCTCTGCCCCAATGTAATATTTTACTTTGTGGGAGAACCAGCTGAGAGAACGCAGTGCAACTACATTCCTAGACCTCTAACAGCAGATTATATCTGTGCAAAACCACAGCAAACAAAAGCTGTATTTCAAGCTCTGTTTGAGAAACATGGGGAGAAAAATCAATATTTGCCTAATAGAAAAGAACAATATTAGGGAAATACATTTTTCATTATCTGGCTTTGTAGAGGGTATTATACTGTAAGGCTAATACTGTTACGGTTGAGATGGCACTTTCTAAAATAATGTTTACAGTGGTTTATGCTAAACTTTTCCAAAATCTTACCAATTAGGATGAAATTTATCATGTGTGTTCTCATTCTAGAAGTTTATATTGGAAAGATTGAAGGAATTGTGTTGTACCATTTTCATATTATCACTGCACTGAAAAACACAATTTTTCATTTAAAAATGTTCAGATGCATTATTTAAAATTGCAGTTTGTGTTTAAGATTGTTTGCCATGTACTTGGTATAGTACTTTATGGAGTTTTAAAAGACTGAGAAACAAATCATGAACAAGTGAAAGCCAGTGGTGTTGTACCTTGTTTTTCTTATAGTTTGTGTGGCTTTCTAGCTAAGTGCACATGGATCTGGATAGCCATACAAACACCAGACAGTTCTTGATGTTTGTGACGTTTTGGGGTTCAACCCAGACCAGTAAAGGGTTGTGTCACTGCCTATACTTCAGCTCTGGGTGCCCTAAATGCTATCCTGCTGTTGCTCTCAGTCCAGACACCAACAGCCAACATACAAGCATGCAGGTTACACCCTGGCTTCCACCACCCAATTACTGTTTGCAGAGTGACCCCAACACACCCACAGTCTGAATTTCCCCCAAACAGTCTCCCTGCAGTGTCCAACCCTCTCCTGGAACACACTCAG